CTCGTCATAAACGATTATAAATTTTTAGCCAAAATAATATTTTTCTCTCACATAAACCAGCTAGATGTACTTCTTCATGAATCAGCAATGAAACGAACCGGTCAACCGAACATGCTGCAGCACCGAATCCCAAATTTCAGCCAAACGATGCATGCAACGATCGTATCGGATGGACAGTTACAGGCACAATCAGCAAAGGTTGCCGCACCTCTCTCTGTGATGCGACGTGCTGTCTTCGTTGCAGGTTTGCAGCTGCAGGCTGCAGCACCGACTAGTTTAACCGAAAACAAGCGGCTGCATCCACCGTTTTGCTAGAGCGTGCAGTGTCCAAATTTGGAGGTATACTGACTGATCGAAACCACCACCAAAAGCCACATTTCTAACTTAAAAAGTCCTGATCCAAGAGAGTTTCTTTGTAACCGGTTTCACCTAAAAAACGAAGCCATATTTAGATGAAACACCTTCTTAGTACGAAAAACGGCCTGTCCTTTTAGAGTTTTCTCCCGAAGTTAGCATTTGGCAGGATTTCTCGTCCAAGAAACTACAAAAGTTACCCGTTCAGACCTCAAAAAAAATCCTGCCAAATAAAATCATCTTTATATCTCTATTTATATTTAGAGAGTCATTCTATGAATATTTTCTTCATATATATCTCATGTCTTCAAAAAAAAACTCTATAAGATTCGTTCTCTATACTACAATGGTTTATCATAAAAAAATTGTGTGGAAAAAATCATGATAAAACTACTATATATTGATTTTAGAGAGAGATGCAGCCTCTCCATGGTAAAAACTGAGATGGTAGTTTTAGTGTGTGTTCGGTTTTGGGACTACTAAGGATTGGTTAGGCTCAACCTAGTTTCTTGGGATGAGATGAACTCATCTCGTGTTTGGTTCAAGAGGTTAGGTCAATTCCGGTTTTATGTTTGGTTTGAAGTTTCTTTGTAGAAGTGGGATGAGCCGATGAGGCAGTGACTTGTGGGGCTCGTGGGAGCCTCTCAACTTTCTTCTTCTACCTCTAGCAGGTCACCCACCATGCCCCTGAGCTCCACCCATCGGAGCTTGTCATGTCCTCGAGCGCGCCTCGATGTCGTGCCGCAAGCACCACCCCAATGCCACTGTTGGTATTTATTAACATCTCACTTGTTTTAAGTAGCCATCTATTACAAACCTATATCTGCTAACATTATTTTACTAGGTTGTCATCTCTAGTGATGATGCCAGAGATGCTTGTTGATACTACACAGCATTACTACTAGAATAATACTAAGTAGTTTTTTATCATTTTATGTGACTAGAAAAAATATATAAATATATGATTAAAAAGGATCTGCAAGCGTACAAATAATATGTTCTACTCATAACAGGGATAAGTTATAGGATAAGATATATATATATATATATATATATATATATATATATATATATATATATATATATATAAATCAATAATAATGATAAATCACTCAGAGTACTCCTTTCTATGGCATTAGTATGGTCAGGTAGAATATTAGAGGAATAATTCCTAAGTTATTCTTAATTACAAGTCATGACATACATTGATTAGTGCAATTATACATAGTAGTTATTGCTAAGATCATCCTCATATCTACACATAAGGTATATTACTGAGGAAGATTAAGAACAGATGTTGCTCTTCCTTCGTAACCGGACCCTACGTGCGTCTATATTCGGGGAGTGAACTACAAAGGACTCAACGGGACTATCATATCCGTGATCTACCACATGACCCAGAATATAGGGTGTATCCGTAGGTAAACAATGTATAAGCACCATGCTTACACAATATCAATCACTCGCCCCGTGCGCAGCGGAGCGAGTGCTATACAAACTTATGGATGGATATAATGATAAACTAGTTATACTAAGCATATAACGAAAGTAGACGATGAATATTATAACAAAGAATATGAATAAGATGAATACTAATATTGTCATAACAATTGTAACTAGCATATAAAAGTAATGGAGAAACAAAAGAGATGGGGTACAAAGATTATATCGAACCACGCTCTTGACAAGATCAGGAATCCAAGCGAAGCTTGCTTGTCTCCCTCTAGACCTAGCCTAACTAGCTATGCCCTAGAATATAGTGGAGCTCTGAGGATAATTAAGGTTTCTGTCTTCTCAAATGACTTATGCCTTCAGAGAGGCAGTGGCTGATATATATAGGCCGGAGCGTCCAACGTGAGCCCTTGGATCAAACTGACTTAAAGGACGACGTAGATGCAACCTAGGAGGCGATGGAGAACCGACATTGCAACGAGGGGCTGACAGGTGGGCCCCAGGGGCCGGGCGGCTTACAAGTGGGGTCGGGCGACGTCTCGCCCTCCGCTTCGGTGTGGAGTCCTCCCGAGTCTTCTAGAGTCTTCTGGTGTCCGTTTCGCTGTGGATAAACGCAATTAAATCTGACATGTAGGTCCACCTTGACGTTTTCTGAATAAACCCTGCAGAAAATACAGATTCACCAAAACTCGTGGAATTTGTTAGTTTAAACCCCTAAATCTTTATTGGTGATTATATTTATGCCCTTATACATGTTATATTAATGGTTTATAATGGTTGTTAACTACCGTTAACAACCACATCGCTTGTTGCGCCCCTACATTGAGCTGCACCTAGCGTGCCTGCTCCACACACTGTATCTCCCGTCATGCTCCTCATGCCACGCGCGTGCTCCTGATGCCGTGCCGCCGCCTCTCGCGGGAGCTTCTGACACCGTACCGCCCATGAGCACGCCTGCTCCACCCCCGTAGGAGCTCCGTCGCACTATGAGCTTTGCCCGTGGGAGCTCAGTTGTGCCCTCGAGCTCCTCCACGTCCCGGAGCATTGCCCCCCACGTTGTGCCTGAGCTCGAGCAATGTCGCTGCTCCGTGCCCACACGCATCCACACGAGGAAGTGGGTTTGACTGGTTCCTCCGTTTTGGAGGAATATAATGAACCCATATCTAAAGGGAAAATTCCCTTCACAGGATGAATCCAATCCTCTAGTCCTTGAACCAAACACACGATAAAGAGCTGAAAAAATAGTGATTTAGAAAGGCTAGCAGAGTATGATTTTTTTGGTTTATTTTCTAAATTTTGTAGTATAGCCATATAGAGATACTCTTAGAGAGATTCTCTAACACGACGTTCGACCGAGTTGCCAAGGTGGATCTTTTGTTTTCGTCCTAGCAACCATAAACTTAAAGCTCTCCTAGCCAAACTAAGAATGCAATTTCAAGATAATACTGAGTCAAACTATTTTAGGTTTGATTAAATTTATAAATATTTATGGTAAAATGACTCATTGTAATAGTTTGTAACTTTATGCAGTTTAACAACACAAGGTCCATATGCAGGACCCACTTCAAAATCTGGACTCAAATCAAAATTCTCTTGTTCACACTTAAAAACTTGAGCAATACTGATTGATTTTTCTTGAGATGGCTCGTTGTGACAGCGAGCTACTTAGTGGGGCTAGATTTAAATGTGGGCCCCATATCAACCTAAAAGTCCCATGTTCACACCTTAGTTTTTTGCGAGATTGATTGGAATTGGTTGGAGATGACTTGTTATAACATACGACTATTTTTTACAAATTAGTGTTGCTAGATATATGTGTAGGCCCCACGTCACAAGTTTGGATTCTAAAGCCAACTATCTATCCCAAACCTATTATTTGGAGATTTTTACTATAAAAAATAAGGGACTTGCTATCCTTTTAGGCGACGGTTATTGCATACTCCCTCCGGTTCTCTAAAGCAAGTCGTTTTGAGGTTGTCTTAAGTTAAATATTTTAAACTTTGACTACAAATAACTTCTTTTGGGTTGAGTTTGAAAATATGAAAGTGATGTAAGTAGATTCATCTCGAAATGTAGTTTCATAAAAGTATATATTGACTATATTTTATAAATATTTTATAGCAAAAAGTAGCGGTCAAAGTCATTTCTTAAAGACCGTGTCGATGTCCAAAACGACTTGTTTTATAGAACCGGAGGGAGTATGTTTTATACTAAAATTGCAGATATGGTTCATTGCAATTTCTGTAGGCGCAAACTGCAATTTTCAGAACCGAGAATAAAAATCATGTTAGACAAAATCACAAAACCTACAAAATCTGATTTGCGTTGGCACAAAGACAATTAACAAATATTTCTATAGGTATACAAGGACAAAAATTTAATATGTTATGACATAAAGAAAAATAACAAATCATAAAAGTAACAATTTACTTTTATTAGTTGGCGGTATAAGAGTGTCGCCTGAAATTATCTTAAAATCCAGGCACCTAAAATATAGGAGAAGTGAAAAAATAATAATTACTATGCTTTTCATTTTTATTCGGAATCCAAATTGCGTTCACTTCTTTTCTTCTCGACAAAAATGAGATCCCGTACTTGCCAAACGCGGCCAAGGCCAGCAGCATCGCATACCATTTGCATGCCGAATCCCTGACGGCCCCACCTGTCAGGCATAAATGGTCGTGGACTCGTGTTCCCCTGTTCCCTTGCGCGCCTTCCCAAAACGCCTCCATACCATACGGACGATATTACAGTAATCAGGAGTCAGGACTACGGGTCCACCTGTCATCAAGAAGTCCCTTCTCCGTTGCCCCCGCACCGCCCACTCCTCGGCGCGCCACGCCACGCCACGCCACGCCACGCTGCAGGGGGAAGCTGACAAGCGTGGCCCACATCCCGGCGGCCTACACTCGGCTCCACCACCGCGCTCTCTCTCATCGTTGTTGCCGTCTCTCCACACTTCCACAGTCCCGACCCCATCCACCCATCGCATTTTGGCTCTCCTCTTGCGTCACACCTCCTCCCTCCTCCAGCGGCTGCGGCCCACACTATATATACCATCACGTCGATGCGCCGCTCCGCTGGCATCGCCATCGCCATCGCCGTCGCGCCGCCGTAGACGGCCTGACATTTTTTTTGTCATCCCAATTCCCGCAAACCTCGCGCGCGGGGGCGGAGGAAAAAAGAAAGGAAGGATGGCGTCGGAGCCGGTGGCGCGGGCGGTGGCGGAGGAGGTGGCGCGCTGGGGCGCGATGCGCCAGACCGGGGTCAGCCTGCGCCACATGATGGAGTTCGGGGCGCGCCCCACGGAGCGGACCCTCCTGCTCGCCGCGCAGTTCCTGCACAAGGAGCTCCCCATCCGCATCGCGCGACGGGCGCTCGACCTCGACTCGCTCCCCTTCGGCCTCTCCACCAAGCCCGCCATCCTCAAGGTTGTTTCCGTTTCTGGCCTTCTACTTCTTCGTCACCTCTCTCTGTGAATTCGGTGCTTGGGCGGGCGGTTAATTTAGTTCCATGCGCACTTTGTTCCTATATATTCCTCCTGCGCTCAATTTGTTGCGGGGAACGGTTTCCTTCCTCGTCGTTTCCCCTTGATTGAAATTTGGGGTTCGGCGACGTTTTGCTTCGGTTTAATTAGCGTCATCTGCACATCTTAATTTTTTGCGGACGAAGGTTGTTTCGTTTTTCGCGAGTAATACGCCACTTGTTTATCTCCTAGGATGTTCACAATATTATAATAGTTCTTTTATGATAACAGTGCTCTGCACTTATATATTTTTTATAATATAATAATGTGTCTGTTCCATTTTATATCTGTTGCCAGTTCTTGCCTCATTGGGGAAGAATAACATGGACGATGGCCGCTATTATTGTGGAGATGGTCCCGTTCCTAGATAGTCTATCGGTTATCCTGAATGACCTGCCTCATATTTGGGAACTACTCCTATAAAGGATCGTATTAGTTCCGGTTAACATGGTAGTTGACATGTCATTTCGATCTCTCCGTTTCACTAAAATACACCATCATATCATTATTTTCAATTCCAACCAGCTTCTTTTGAAAATTAATTCTAGTATATCTTAGTATAATGAGGAACTTTAGAACATTCTTACCTCCCAAATTTTCCTCGTAGTTTCATTTGAATCTTTGGCTTCTCGAACATTTCACTTCGAGAATCAGAAGCACCTAAATTCGCATGTAGCAAGTTTTTTAAAGTGGTATTCACAGATTTTAACAAGCTAGCAAATTCTTGCGTGTGAAAGCAGCCATTTACAGGACCTAATTTTTTGTCTACTTGCCTCTGCAAAGGTGAGAGATTGGTATGTCGAGTCATTCCGTGACATCCGGTCCTTTCCAGAGGTCAGGAACCAGGAAGATGAGCTCGCCTTCACCCAGATGATCAAAATGATCAGGGTGCGGCACACCAATGTGGTGCCCGCGATTGCATTGGGTGTGCAGCAGATGAAGAAGGACTTGGGCGGTCCAAAGGCGTTCCCCCCTGGAATCCATGAGATCCATCAGTTCCTTGATCGCTTCTACATGTCAAGGATTGGGATCCGGATGCTGATAGGTTAGTCAGCTTAGCACTCCCATCTCTCTCATGTCCAGTTCTCAGAAAGTTGTTTGGTCAGTCTTGGTAAGATTAGCACTTTAGGTATTAACACATTGTTGATAAAAGAAAAGCAATATGTCTACAGCCCTAATTTAGCTATCTGTTACCTATGAAAGTTCACCTTGCTGCTACTGCTTTCTTTCTTGCCCAAAGAAGAACATCTGAACCTGTCATTCTGTCTGATAGATTTCTAAATGACGTTTCAGCTCTCATTTATCTGGAAACTTCAGTTCGGGTGCAAACATAAGGCACCATAATTTTCGACATAATTCTGTTGTTATAATAGTTAGGAAATAAAAACTGTATTTCTTGGCTGGATACCAGAAGTAACTGCTGTAATGTTCTTCAAGATCTAGTGGTTAATGGATAACCAATTATATTATTCCTTCATTTTAGACAACAACGGTTGCCATATGGTTACTTTTATGACGTCAATTCAAAAAAGGAAAAAAAGAAGCATTTGTGCTTCTGCTTTTGTCGTGATATGCAGTAACCATGTTCTGGTTTGCTTGATTCAGGGCAGCACGTCGCTTTGCATGACCCTGATCCAGAGCCTGGTGTGATAGGGCTTATAAACACAAAAATGTCACCCATGACAGTAGCTCGAATTGCTAGTGAAGATGCACGTGCTATTTGCATGCGGGAGTATGGATCATCTCCCGACGTCGACATATATGGTGATCCGGGTTTTACATTTCCGTAAGTCCCTATACTGAAGGCTTGCTCCCTGCATTTGCTTTAATTAGATGCCATCGTACTTTAGTTCAGGATTCAAGTGTATCTCTTGCCACGTTTGAGTTTTCTTCTTCCCCATCTTTTTTTGTGAACATATTGCTCGGCTTGTTTGTATCTGACATTTAAATTGATATTCATGTCTTATTGTTGTGTGTTCTTATCCATTCTACTTGTACTTTACCCTCTGTAGAACAATCTTTGGCTGAACTGTAATAACTTAGAGCCTGTAACTGCTGTGAACACCCGTATGTCCTGTTTGCAATGCATGATGGACAGGGGCCTTGTTGGCCCTGGAACTGTAAAATATCTTTTGTCCAGCAGAAAAGTAAACCGTGGAGTCTCTCTGAATGATATTCTGAGCTATTCTTGAACTCTTGATCGCAGATATGTTACACCACATCTACATCTCATGATTTTCGAGCTGGTGAAGAATTCCTTGCGCGCGGTACAGGAACGGTATATGGATTCTGATAAGCTTGCACCTCCAGTTCGAATCATAGTTGCTGATGGAGCAGAGGACGTAACTATTAAGGTGTAACTCTACCTAAGATTCCCCATTACCTCTTATTGGGAAAGTTTGTAGTCTCAAACATGGTATTGAGTTTTTTTTCCACAAATTCACAAGCTTGCAGTTTCCATTAAATTTTATGTCTATGTTAATTTATCCTTCGTAGTACTTGTGGTAGGCAAAGAAAACAAAGGTAACTGTAGAGAACTAAAGTTGTGAGTCATCTTTAAATCTGAGTGATGTTGACCTTTGTGAGTCTTACATGTGTGTTTTCGTGCAAAGTAGTTTCATTTTTACAGCTGACCTTGATTTTGGTGCTGGACTTTTCTTGTCTTGGCATGGTTCCATGGTGGTAATGGTAGCCAAAGGAGTAAAAGAGATTTGAGGGAAATGGACTCCGTTTATTTCTTGCTGGCCTAAGGATCAATGTTTTCAAATTGTCGAGCCTAGTCGTAAGGGCACAGATAAGACGACTAATCGTGATTGATCGTTGATCAGGCCAATTAGTCGAACCTAGTCTGTAGTCCAATTATCCTGCTTAAATACCCTGATACCTAGGATATACATGTACTGTATAGTTGGTCACTTGTGAAGTACAAACAACAAATAGGCAAGCAGCAGAGATCAATGTCCAAGCATGGTTGGTTGGCCAAGCACAAACATATCTCACTATCAAATGGCGAGTTGCCCTCATGATGAATTAGCGATGGATTACAGACTTGAAGGGTTTAGGGTTCGTCCTAAGCCTAACGGATGACTAATCGTAATTAGTCGATGACTAGTCGGATGACTAGTTATCTAGTCGAGCTAATCGAGTTGATAAGCATAATATGTATCAAGGGACTGATAAAGCTGATTAGTCACGATTAATTGTGATTAGTCGGACGACTTGATAACATTGCTAAGGATACAGATCAATATTAATAGTCATCCAGTAATGTCAGTTTTTTCTCTGATTATAGCCAAATGCAACTAGCAGCCTTTATGATGCTAATAGATAGCCAAATCCAACTAATTGACCAAAGCCTTTTGTTTGAATTTTCTCTCATTAATTGTGATATTTGTCTGACAGACTTGTATCTTCTTCACCTATATCAACAAAAATCAATAGTTTCGGTTATTCATGATCTGGTATGAACTGTTCTACTAAACCATGCTTTTGCAGATTAGTGATGAAGGTGGCGGAATACCAAGGAGTGGCCTCTCAAGAATTTTTACGTATCTCTATAGTACAGCAGAAAACCCTCCTGATCTGGATGGACATAATGAAGGAGTAACTATGGCTGGATATGGATATGGGATCCCTATTAGTCGTCTTTATGCTCGATATTTCGGTGGGGACTTGCAGATAATCTCTATGGAAGGATATGGTATGTACATACTTAACCTTTTATGTTCATATAATGAACATACTGAAGAATGTGGTTGTATTCATCTTGCTCTTTGATTTTTATAAATCAGTATGAAGTTTAGACTTTCTGAATGCTGATTACTCCTATTTTGTAAAGTGCAAGTGAAGGTTAAAATAATGACACATAAACCTTGGGACATTAATCATATATGCTAATTCTTCCACATTATTTTAGCTTTCCTAATTTGCTAAGGGAACTTATAACTCCTGAAATTGAGATGTTCCATTAGCATCAGGATCACAATGACTATATTGCTGCATCATTTTCCATCTTACAGAAATACAGCATAGCTACACTCTTGTCATTCAGTTGATCACTATTTTTTTTTGTTTTAATATAGGAACTGATGCTTACCTCCACTTATCACGGCTGGGAGATTCGGAGGAACCCTTGACTTAATCGATTCAGAAGAAGCCATTCCTATAATTAGGACTCTATTGCTTTCTCAATTACTGTGCTGGTATGCAAATATAGTTCTGAAGGCCAGCCACCTATAGTTTCAGCTGTTCTTGTCCTACTTGTTGTCTTTGTTGTTCATTCATCATCTCGATGGAATGTGATCATAATTCAGAATCGTTTTGCTTCTGGTTTGTACTGTCATTATAATTGTTCAACCTCCAAAAGTAGTTGCTGTTGAGCACCCAAGGTATTTAGGTTGAGTAACGGGATTCACCATGAGACTGTAAGACTGTAACTCCAATGCCTTCAAAGCATGTTTTTTTTTTTAGTTTCAGACCACCTTGTTCGATATAATATGAGGAATGATCTTCTTTCACTGAAATCATTCGATGAATTGTATTGTTAAAATTAAAATGGACCGACTCAATGGAGAATGTGTAATTCTTTGAACTAAATGCCTGCCAAAGTATATCATTGGTCGGAGGGTGAGATATGAGATTGTTCGTTTTTCCCAGGGCGGCTGATTTCACCCGTATCTCACATGTAATCTGTGCGTCGACATGTCAGCTTCAGAATGCAACATTACTGGTATCCAGTTATCATGCACATAATATGGCGTGGATTTGGTTATGTTTGTTCGGCGTTTGTTTTTGGACCCTGTTGACGACATGTTGATCAGTACTCCTAATTCACAATATTTTTTCATGTACTAGGTAAAATGTAAAGCCACATTAGTTAAACTGGTCAGTTGATGGTCGTTCATGACAATCAATCTTTTGAACCTTTTTAATTTAGATTATTAGTAGTGCGGGATATTGGTGATTTTTTTTTTCTTTAGAGAGCCGTGGATGCGTCTTTGGTTGGACGACGAATTTGCTGGCGAATTTCTTTTGGGCGTGACATTTTTTTATCTTGATGAAACGGTGCTCTTTTCTTCTCTTGTTTGTAAAATGATATTTTCATGTCCCTAACTTAAAATAACTGCACATCATATTTTTCAAAAAGTTAAAACTTTTTAATGTAACAAAATATATATGAAAATATTTATCTTTCTAATGCATAATAAATATTATTAGATCAATAGTAAATATATTATTTTATAATAAATGAAATATATGTTGGTAATATTTTTTGTAATTCTATAGGTTAAACTTAGAAAAGTTTGACTCATTAAAAACGAGATGTGTATTTATTTAAAATGGGAGTCTTAGCGAATTTGTCTCCGGCTGAAATCGCGAACCAAACAGGCTGAATGTTGAAATTGCGCAAAGTAAAACAGATCGAGCTTTCGTTATACGGAAACACAAAACAGACAAGAATTGATCTGAGCCATTCAATTTAACTGACCCTAGGTCTCTGGTTCCTCTTCTTTTGTTTGCCTCCTTCCTTGGCGGAGACGGCGCCGGCGTCAAACAAATTGCAACTCCACCCGCCCCGACGGCTCCACCGCCGGCGAAACCCTAAGCCATCCCTACGATTAACCGCCCATCGGACCCGCGGATGCAATGGGAGAGTGCGCGCCTACGGCGGCGGTCGCCACGACGTCGACGGCCAAGACGTCAGTGTGGTGGGACATCGACAAGTGCGCGGTGCCCCGCGGCCGCTGTGACCCGCACCGCATCGCCCACAACCTCATCGCCGCGCTCGCCGCTGCGGGGTACGTCGGCCCCGTCTCAATCGCTGCCTACGGCGACGCCGCCCGGGTGCCCCCGCCCGTCCTGGCAGCGCTCTCCGCCACCGGCATCTGCCTCAACCACGTCCCCGCCGGTACAGTACAGACTCTCCCCCTCTCCTGCTTTCAGCGCATTGCCGCCTAGTTGAATTCGCGCTGCTAATCGAATCCCTTTCACCTGACGAACGATTGGCAGGGAGCAAAGACACCAGTGAGAAGAGGATGCTTGTCGACATGTTGTTCGGGGCATTCGACAATCCTCCACCGGGCAACTACTTACTTATCTCAGGCGATCAGGCTCTCTCTTATCTCCTTCACAGACTTAGGATGAAACGCTATGATATCTTGCTAGTACGACCTCCCAATGCATCATCTCAGGTGCTTGCTGCTGCAGCTAAGAAGGTCTGGCTCTGGGAAAACCTTACAGCAGGAGAGTTGCTGCTACCAGAGCCGACACCTGCAAGAAGTGTGCTAGGTTGCAAGCTGCATCTGAATAGTTCAGATACCTTGAAGTGTTCACATAGTAAGGTTCTTTTTGATTATGGTAAGAGTGACTGTAATGGAAAGGAAGGCAGTCAAATTAGAGTGAGAACTCTTCAAAAGTATGTTAAGAAGGCAAGTTATTCATCTACTACTGAAATTAGTCAAGATCGTGTAGTGCCAGCTGGTGGAGTTTCTCGAAGTTCTACAGGAAGGACACTGAGTGAGGTTGACCATTATTCTGTTTCATCATTATCATCGTCAAGTCCTGACTCAACAAAACGTGCAAAAGCGAATACCTCGGGCCTGTTCGGCAGGACTGAAAAATACTGTTCCGGCTGATTGTTGTGAGAGGAAAATACTGTTATGGCAGGACGTGAACAGTGATTCTGTGAGGTGGCTGGCCAGCCGGCAACCAGCCAGCCAGCCAGCCGAACTACGTCCTCAGTTCCACTGGAAAATCGTACTTTGTCCAACTTGTCCTCTCGTAGACATGCCCTGTCTACTCATTCACATGCAGAAGCAACAACCCAGCCCGTCCTCGCTGATAAGCCTGGCATACCAACTGGGTGTTTGCCAAGAAATGCAACTCTTAATTTGGTGCTAGTAATGGTCAATGTAATCAAATGTCTCAGCATTTCAGATACTCTGAAGCACAGAATAAGCTTCATTCTGAGTTTACAACAGTCAGTAATAAGGGAAAGGCAGTCAATCGACATGGGTTGAAGCCACTTCAGATGTATGTAAAGAAGAAGACAAACTTCACATTTGGTTCTGCTAACAAGCCGGTTGGTTAGGGGTTCCTGAATGTCCTGTAGGAATTGAGCTAGACCAAGCTTCTGTTTCAGCATCGCCTACTTCTACTCAGTCCCATTCATCAGCTCAAAGACCTATAGCTTCTGCTCATTTGCATAAAGTGAAAGCACCACATGAATCCATCCTTGGTAAGAAGCCTAGCACGTCAGTTGAGTTGCATCAAGTGAAAGCGCCACATGAATCCATCCTTGGTGAGAAGCCTAGCACATCGGTTGAGTTAGTGAGAGTACCACATGAGTCCATCCTTAGTATAAGGCCTAGCACATCAGCTGAGCATGCATCAAAAAATGGGACACATGATTCTGATGTTTGTGCTATCAATTATAATCCAACATGTCAGCAATTCAAATCTTCTGAAGCACAGAATAAGCTCCACTCTTGCTCTAATGTGGGTGGCAGCAGTGGGAAGTTAGGAAATGAATACAAGACCAATAAAGAGCAACCCTATGCAAAATGGATAAATATTTTCACAGCTTCAGCAAGCAATGAAATAAATCCATCTACTACAACTTTTGATAATTCTAACGGAAGTACTTCGAGATATCCAAGTCAATCTTTGTCAGCATCGTCAAGCTCTAAATCGCTTCAGAGTGCAAAGGTGAATGACTCAAATCTGTTGTTATCAGATCATATTTCTTTACTTGCTGATAATTTGCATCAGGATGGAGCAACATCCATTTTTGGTAAGAAGAATAACACATCATTTCAGTGCACTGCCAAAAGTGGAACTTTTGTTTTTGGTGCTAGTAGTGGCCAGTACCATCAGACATATCAGCAAGCCCAGTCTTCTCTGCCATTAGAGCAACATAATTCAGGTACTAGTATAGTACATGGTCATTCCGACTCAATAAATTCGCATAGAGGCAGCACTGCTTCGCCATCAGTTGAGCATAATGGTGCTCCTTTTGCACAAACCCAAACATGGTCCAGTGGCTCAGCTTTTGAAGGTTTGGATGATATTTGCAATAGTTTTAGTAGACTGAATATTTCTGAATGCCCTCAAGGAACTACTGAGACCAGGCCTCAAGGTCCACCTACTAATGGTCCTTCAATGGGAAATGCCAGATAATTCTGGGCATCCTGTAGGTTTTCACGAGAGCAGATCATCTTTTCACTTGGATTCTAACTCCAGCTGCTATCTGAATCACTCTAGTGACCCTCAAAGTGGCCAACCTCCTTTCAGTGGCTATACTTGCACATTCGGGCACCAACCTAATATGTTCAGTGATATGCAAAGCTCTGAACACTCTGGAGATAAGCCAAGACATGAGCCTGAAGTAGGAATAATATTGCAAGCTTTGGACATGTTGAAGACTGAAAAGATATTCCCAACAGAAACAAACATTGCAGACTGTATATGTTATGGAGAGCTGAATTTAAGAGGTTTTGATGTTAAGAAGGCTCTTGAACTTGCCATTCGACATGACGCTGTCGTTATGAAGAAATTAATAAATGACATGCCATTATTTGTTGCAAAAGACGAGAGCCTCTGGAAATGTGTGAATGTAACAAATACCAAAGCAAAAAATCCCACAGAGGAGCTAGAGACAGTTTATAAGTACATTTCATCCCCCGATGGCCACTCTGCAATGATGAATTCTCAGTCAAGGTCAGGATTTGTACCTTCTCTTGTGCTAATCATTTCATCATTTTATTCCGGAATGCCAGCAATATATTTGCGTTTCCTTTTCTGGTAGGTACCAAGCTGCAATGATCTTGAAGAGATCGTGCATGCAGCAGTATGCACTGGGCGACATTCTCCAGGTCCTGCATATCGTTATCGTTCGAAAGAAATGGCTTGTGCCTCATTCTTCAGGCTGGCAGCCGCTGTCCTCAAACACAACAGCGGATACTGCAACTACTGATGCTGCAGGAAAAGTTAAATCTTCTTTTCCTGTGGTCATCTCAGGATAGATATCTTGATATGCACCGATGAGTGGCAGACAGAAAAGATGAAATGATTAGTCATAATAGTGTTAAGTTATCGGATAGGTTTGTGTGACAGTGATAGGTCTCAATCAAGGGAAGTCTGTGTATCAAAGCACGTGAATACCCTGCTGAATTTGCCCCAAATACTACCGGAGCAACGAATGTCCAGCATTTTTGCTATCTGCGTAGTAAGTACTATATTATTTTGAGAAGCGCAAGATAAAATACCAAAACAGATCTCTTTGATGTGTCTCCTGAGTGGCTCTGGCACAATTGCGCCTGAGGTTGGATTGAACTTGGGTCTGTGCATCTCTTACTTGCGATACAGAATGTCATCCTTTCATATTCTTTGTTGCTGAACACGACGATGCTCCGACTCCAAAGGACCAAATTATGGCAAAGGACCAAATTATGGCTAAGGTCTCGGTGGAGCTGCTCCACTCCAGAACTCTAGGTGGAGCCAGTTTTAGGTGGAGTTGGAGCTGTCTGATACTCTGATGGAGGTGTTTGGCTGGGAGGGTGTCTCCAGCTCCAGAAAAGAGGAGTTTGAGGGTAGATTGCCATTCTTGCCCCTGGTTTGACTTAACTACTTCTCACAAATATGAAATGAAAGTACATGCAGTGAAGTCCAAAATAATAATAAATTACATGTCATTTGCCTAAAATCGAAATTATGAAATAAGTTCATAGTTCGAAAATAAGGTCGTTACAATAATCATTGCACTAGTTCCATGCTAGGGCGATGGATGTAGCCATACTATCACGAAAGGTGTCCATAGTCACAAAGCTTGATTTCGAAGTTGATCCATCAGAGGCATGTTGAGACACGGCATACTTGTACCTTTTCAGAATAATAGGCATGTAGGTAGGATCTCTATCAAAATTAGCAAAGTTCACATCAACACTAGCATGTTCACGTATGACCATTGAATAACTGGGCACCTTGTAAAGGATTTGTCATTTTATTTTTAATACTCCAAATGAGCGCTCAATAACATTACGAACAGATGAGTGTATACGGTTGAACTTCTCTTTTAGAGTATTTGGTTCCATACCTCGATGCCACTCGGGTAAGTGGTATCTTTCACCCTTGTATGGAGCCAGGTACCCCGAACGATTAGGATAGCCTGCATCTACAACATAGTACTTGCCTACACATATGTAAATCAAGATAAGTTTGTGCATACAAATATGAACAAGAACATAAGGAAAAATATTTACCTTGAGGAGGATGTGGGAAGACATCTACATCTGCTTCCAATGCATGGTACAATACACTTGTGTCATGTAAAGAACCCGGTTGACCCGTAGCCACATAGGTGAAGCGCATATCAAAATCACAAACAGCAAGCACATTTTGAGTTGCAATTCCAGTCTTACCAATATATCTCACTTGTTCTTCAGGTGATAAAGACACACGAATATGGGTTCCATCAAGGGCACCAATACAATCCTTAAAGTGTGGATATGCTCTCTTGTCATTCCTAATCCTCTTGTGCACATTGTGAAAATTAGGATCTGTTGGTCTCAAGAAATGTTGTGCCATGGCAACCACACAGTCTAGAACTTCATGAAATTTTCTACTAATGGTTTCACCTGAGTGTTTGAACTTATTTTGTCCTCTTCTATTTGACTCACAACTACCACAAGTGAATAGGAAAATTGCCAGCATTTCATATGTATTCATGTGTTTCGATGGTTTTAATCCGTACCTCTCAACCAACACATCATGAAGATCATGAAAAATAACCTCATTCATCCGAAGCATTCGATGACACTCTCCTGGAGCGTTTATCATCTCCAGCAGCCATCCCATTCCACTTTGTTGTGAAAACATTAACCTCGGCGGTGCCTTATCCATATACAAGTCATGATAACTTTGTGCTAGTTTAGCACCGGTCTCAACCATTTAAAAAAAATCCCCATCATCACTAGAGTCATCAGACTCACTTGAAGACATCTGTGAACATTGACATAAACGAAATGTAAGATACAGCTACCATACATAAATGAAGTGCAAGAAAATAAAATGTGGCATACATAAATGGCATCACAAGAAAATAAAATGTGGCATACATAAATGACATCACTCTCACTGCCATTTCTACTTTTCATATTTGTCATTGTATTTCCTCCTAAGTCAATTGAACCTAATCTCATTAATAGGCAAGGTCATGAACATCTCCATTTGCTCCTTCTTCACAAATAGTTCAAACGCAATGTAATGTTCATTGCTATCATAGCCGGCCCCACAAGCAATCACAACCTCCATCACTTCATAAATAGAATATTTTCCATGTCTCTTCGAAACATATGCATTGGCTGAACTTGCCATACTTGTTATTGCTTTTTGAATTAGGAGTGCATTACCAGACTTCGCCTTCTTGCCACTTCTTTCAACAGGCCTTGCCAATCTCTTGCCACTCGCAGGTGGAGGAGAAATACCATTCTCCTCCTCTTGTGTTTCAGCAACAAAATCATCATCTTGTGACTCATCTTGTGTGTTATCAACATTTTCTGTTGCTTCAACATTCACAACATGAGGAGACCAATGATCAATACCAACAGTAGTGATGTCAGCAAAACACTTGGCTAATTCATCTTCATTCTCAAGGCCCTTATTTTTAAACTTTCTACAACCCGGAATGTCCTGAAATAAGCAAAATAACATATATTGTTATAAGTATTACCAACAGAATTGACATATGCAAAACAAATATATCTTAATTTTTGAACCAACTTACAACTCTAGTTTTTTTCCACCATTCATCATCTATAGCAATAGTCTTCTTTATAGGGTCCTAACCAGTCCCTGTTTGTCTCAGCATTAGTGTCGGTGTTTCGGACCAGGGGGTCCTCAACCAACTAGTGAATTTGTTCTGCGTGCTCCCGATCCGGATGGTGATGCAAAGAGACACAAGGTTTATACTGGTTCAGGCAATCGAGGCCCTACTTCCAGTCTGAGAGATCGATCTTGTATTCCTTGCACCGAGGTGCTCGTAGTAGGGGGTTACAAGCTAAAGGAGAGAAGGAGCTGGTCCTAGGTCTCGGCAGGGTGCCGTGCGGGCCGCTTGAGACGTTGCTCTCTGGCAGCAGGAGTGTGCGTGCGTGTTACAAGGTGTCTCCCGTCTCCCCTAAAACAACCTAGGTCCTCTCCTTTTATAGCATGAAGGGAGGACTTGGGCGGTACATGAGCTGACTATACGGCGTCGTGTGAACAGAGGCGGCGTGTCCGGGCCCTGTAGCCTGTTCCTGTGGCGGCGTGGCCGTCGGAGTGGTCCATCCTTGGAGTACTGGGGCGGCGTGGTCATCCCATCAGGTCCTGTGCGTCGTGGGAGCCCCGGGAATGCCTCGGAGTGGATGCGGCGGCGAACGTGCAAGCCACTGTGGATGGACTGTGCGCGATGCCGAGGCTTGGTCGATGCCGAGGCTGGCACTGCGGTGGGGGGGTCTCGGCAGGCGCGAACCCCAAGATCACCGAGGCCTCGGTGTACAGTGCCGAGGCCTTGAGCGGGCGGCCGATCATGGGTACAGCGTTTGGACACAGTGGTCGGTAATCCCCGTCGTACCCTTTCCCAGTCGGTATGGTGCTGGTCGTGGACACAGTGGTAGGACACAGTGGTAGGACACAGTGGCCTATCCCGGCCGGTATGGCGCTGATGCGACCTCGGGTCGCGTCGGCCATCCTGTGGCGTTGAGCCACCATCCGGCTGAGATTGCGGGAGTGGTTGAAGCATTAATGAGACATGACGAGTTGTTGGGAGGGTCAGTCAAGACGGGGGGCGACAGACCGTGGACGAGCCGGCCTCGAGCGACACGGAGAATGAGGCCTCGCGCGATATGGAGAATGAGGCCTCTGCCGAGGCCTTCCCTGGATAGCCTCGGGCGAGACGGAGACGGCGTCCCCTGCCGAGGCTCGGCGCCCCCTGCCGAGGCCTACCTTGGGGAGCCTCATGAGGTGGAGTTCGCCCGAGACCTCCCGCTTTCGAGGCTCGGCGAGGTGGAGGAGGGCTCGGTCGTGGTAGGTGAGGGGCCCATGGCTTACCTTCTAGCTTTGTTTTGATGTTTGCTTGGGGTACCCCGTTCTAAGGTACCCGACAAGAGCCCCCGAGCCTCGGGGTGAGTCGTGCACTTTCCTCGAGGGTTCGTCGAGGCTGGGTTTATGCCTGCTCCGTGGGAATTGGTTTTTTTTCGAGGTTCCAGTGTGCGTGTGGCCACTCCACCGGTGTAACCCGAGCCCCGGAGGAGTGAAGTTACACCTCCGGGGCTTTCTACTTTCGCGTTTGAGTGATCAGTTCTTATTGCATTTGCCGAGCCCATAAGCGCAAGTTCGGGTTCTGGGGGTCTCGACGAGGTTGCAAAAAAGGCCCTCTAGCCTCCGCATGGGCGAGAGGTTCGTTAGGGGTCCCCCTGACGTTGGGTATGTCCCTCATGCTTCCTTTCGCTCGGAAGGAGGGGTGGAATGTGCCATGCGACCCTCGATGGGCGTGAGCGTGGACACTTTCGGTGAGCTGTTATCGGGTAGTCCAAGTGGAGGCCCGAGCCCGTTCGCTAGGGGACGGCTAGCGGTCGAGAGCGCACTCCAAAAGTACCGGAGGATTTCTCTAGTGGGTGCCGAGGCCGTTCATTGGGCCTCGGTGGCTCGGTGCCTCCCTGGTGGGGATCCCATTCGGATACTTTCTGTCGGTCTCGGACACGACTTAGGACGCCCCGAGCAACTGCTCGTTCAGGCCTGGGCCATTCGCAGGGCTTCAAGTCGTCGTTCTGACTCTGTTGCCTGGGGCGGGCGGCCGTCGAAACCTCTTGGAGGCCCACCTTTTGAACCCTGGACCCGTGAACGGGCTCGGTGCCCTTTATCGTGTTTTTGTCTTGGTTTTTGGGTGCAAGAGGAGCCCCCAGCCCTCCGCTTGGAGCAAGAGGACGGTCGGGGGTCTCCTGACTTTTTCATTTGCCCCTCACATATCCTTTTCGTTCGGACGGAGGGT